GGAAGGTGACACAGCCACAGGGACTGGAGATTAGGGATGCGGACGTCTTTGGGGGTCACTCTCCTGACAGCACAACCTGTGCACAGGCTTCCTGTTCCAGAACATCACACACGCGGGATCACACAGGCCCTCCTCTCGGATCTCGCTGGGTGGGAAGTTCTGTGAGTTGCTCAGCTGATTGCACTTAGTGTTAGCTTATTCCTTTTCAGTGGTTCTCAACCTTGGCTGCACATGAGAATCGCCTGGGAATCTTTTAAAAATCCTGATTTCTGGGCCTCATCCTCTGGAAATTTTCTTTGTTACTAATGTTACCCCATAACAAAGAAACAGAATTTCCGGAGGATGAGGCCCAGAAATCAGGATTTTAAAAAGATTCCCAGGCGATTCTCATGTGCAGCCAAGGTTGAGAACCACTGCTTTATATGCTGGGTGGACGCTGGGGTTTGAATGGACTACAGTTTGTCTATCCACTCACCTGCTAGTGAGTACCTGAGCGGTTTCCAGATTGGGACGGTTCTGAGAAGAGCTGTCCTGAACATTCCTTCCAAGACTTTGTGGACCCGTTTTGATTTCTCCTGGGCAAACACAAGTGGAGTCAGGGAGGAGGTGTGTTTAGTTTTATGAGAAACTGGCAGACCTTTTCCCAAAGTGGTGCTAGCGTTTCTCACCATCACCAGTAAGCTGCGAGTCCAGGTTGCTCCGCGCCCTCAGCAAGGCCAATCTTTTACATTTGAGGCCTCAGGCGAGTGTTGGGGAAGGTGGTCTTTTGTTTTGTTTTGTTTCTGGTAAAATATACATAACATTTAGCATTTTAACCATTAAGTGCACATTCCGCGGTGTGATGTGCACTCACAGTGTCATGTGACTATCTCCACCGTCCACCTCCAGCACGTTCTCATCTTCCCACACAGACACCCTGTCCCTGCTAAACCCTAATCCCCCACCCCCTCCTCCAGTCCTGGCTCCTGCCATCTTTCTATGAACTTGACTCCTCCCGGGACCTCACGGTGGAATCACACAGTATTTGTCCTATTTCCCTGAGCGTCATGTCCTCAGGCTCACCTATATGGCAGCAGGTGTCAGAATGTCCTCTTAAGGCTGAAAAATACTCGTGTGTGGATGGGCCACAGGGTGTAGATCCATTCAGCCACCCGTGGACGTGTGGGTGGTGTCCGCCTTTCGGCTGTTGTGAATCATGCTGCTGTGAACACGGGCGTGTAAATCCCTCCTGGGTCCCTGCTTTCAATGCTTTTGTGTGCACACACCTAGAAACGGGGCTGCTGGGTCATGCGATAATTTTGTTGGGTTTTGAACTGCTTTTAATCTTATAATTTTTGATACACAAGGGATGATTTTTATGTAGTTGAATTTACTAATGTTTTATACCGAGGAAGTTCTTCTCTCCTTAGAGGTCAGAACCACCCATCTGCAGATTATTAAAATGGTAACTCTTATGGTGTGAGGTGGGTTGGGCCACCGCTCCCTGGTCTTCCTTGGAGTCTCTGGTGGTCGGGGTGGTTTCTGGGTGACCGGGGAGTGGGGGTGAGATTAAGATCTTCCCAGGCTCTGAGCCTTTCGAAGGGCCATGCCAGACAAACACTCCCAATCCGTGGCACATGGCTCATGCACACAGCCTTTCCCCTACATTTTCTAGCTACAGATCACAAAGCCCATCAACGCGGAGGCCACTGGTGATGCTGCTGCCTGGAGTGGGTTCCAGCCCATGTGCCTCTTCCTGGCGCAGGTGGGGGGGGGGGTGGGCACAATGCGGGCAGCCCCACCCTCCCAGCAGTGGCCAGGGAGCGAAGGAAGGGCCCAGACTGGAGACAAGGAGCAGTGAGCCTTTTTATTGTGGATGAATTCACTTTGTATTGACAATTCCACACAATATTAAAATACTGCGAGAAAGTGGGTGTGACACACCGGGAGTTTGTTTTTTTTTTTTTTTTAATCAGAAATAAAAACCACCAGGCATCGGAAGGCAGATGGGGTAGAACCCAGCAGAGCCACAGATTGCTTCTAAGACCAGGAGCAAGTTGTCACAACGTTTGGGAATGGGTTCTCTGGCGGGTGTCCGACATATGGCTTGTTTTCAGGGGACCGTGGCAGGCTGGCTTTTTGCAAGTGCTCTTGAAGGAGGGGTGTCTCTCGGTGGCTCCACTTGGGCCAGAAACTGCCCCTGGGGTGAGAGTGTGAGACACCAAGGGCCCTGTCCTGCGGCCCAGAGCGCGGGCAGGGGGGCTCTTCACCAGACGGATGAGCTGCCTGGAGGCCCAGGGCGGTCCTGGGCCAGTGGCAGGGACATCAAAGCCGGAAAGGCAGCCCCTTCCGCCCAGCCCAGCGGGTTTACATCCCCTGGGGCTGGAGGTCACAACCGAGTCACTTCATTCTTGGCCTGGGAGTCACCTTTGGGAGGATGGGGCAGGGTGCGTGGTCTAGCTCCTTCCTGGGGTGGGGGTGGGGGAGCGGGGGGTAGAACAGCGGCTTGGCCAGGCCAGGAGCGCTGGCCACTGGAAACACTGAACCACTGACTGCAGAAGAGACTTCGCACCCTCACGCCTGCCTTCTGTGTCTGCGTCCTTGATTCTGCGTCTCCTGCTCCCCCCCGCCCCCCCCCACACACAGTTGGAGATGCTGGTTTCCCCAAGGCCTGTGCTGCTCCCTGACACAAGGGGCACTTCCAGGCCCCAAACGCCTTGAAAGCCATGTTTCCACGGCGGATGCTTGTGTCAGGAGAGCACAGCAGCTTACGTTGTTGTGAGTGCCCTGCTGCTTTAGGGAACACTATGGACAGCGAGATTTACTCTAAATTTTAAAAAGGAGCTTTGTTTTTTTCTCAGCTCGAACGAAAACCACAGTGGGACTCCAGCCGATGGCCACCTCCCTGGGGTCGGAGGTTGTGGGCACCTGAGCAGGTAGGGCAATAGGGCGGGAAACTGACTGTCCTCACCTTGCTGGGCCTCCGTTTACCCAGACCACTCAGGCCCTAGGTTTTCTGGCTCAGAAGCCACCCCAGGCTGCAGTTTGCTTCAGGGCTGGGGGTGAGGGGGGTGGGGTGCGGAACATGTTGGCAGGCTGAGCCCATAGCAGGCCATGGAGCTACGAACTCGGGTTCTACCCCCCCTCCCTCACCCAGGGCCCTCGGCTCTGCTTCCCACCTGCTTCTCTGGAGTCCTGGGGTCCGGGACACATGGTGGGGCAGGGCTTAGATGACCGGCAGGCAGGGGGCGCAGAGAAAGGGGAGGTCTGGGCCCCTGGGCGAGATGGGGCCTCCTGTCCTCTCTGGGGCCCGGTGGCCAGACAGTGGAGGGCCCAGGAAGGAGGATGGGCGTGCAAGGACCTCTCGCAGGCTCAGGGGGTTAAGGCTTCTGTCACAGAGCAAAGGGGGCGCACAGGTCACCAGTCACCAGATGGCTGGCGGGAAGGGCATGTCTCGCTCTGCGGCCCGCTCCCTGCCCTCGGGGGTCATTCCCACTGGGCCCTAGAACGGGGTGCTGGGGACAGTGAGAGGCTCCGGGCACAGGCTTCCTGTGCAGTCAAAGGCGGCGGCAGTATGGCTACCTCACGGCTTTTCCTGACCAATGGCAGGTCCGGAAGTGCCGGGCTCCCCAATGCCCCTGAAGCTCCCAGACCAGCTGGGGAGAGCTGGGTGCTGGGGAGAGAGCCAGGCCCGGCCTGTACCCTGTGGGAGCTGATGGAGGGTCACCCCGGGGCCTTCTTAGCTCCGCAGGATCGGCGCCTTGGCCCTGGCTGTGAGTAGAGGCCCGGGCCTGGCGGCTGTCCAGGACCCTGCTGGCGCAGCCTCAGGCGCTGACGTCCATGGGGCCACAGGGGCAGCGCTGGGCTCCTTTCTTCCCACAGTTTGCCTCTGGCCCCCTCACGGGGCAGGCGGGAACCCCTGAGTTCAGGGCTGTATGGGGTCCTGGCAGCCATGGGTGGCACTGGCAGGGGAGGAGGGGGCCCCATCCTCTTATTCCTTTAACTGTCCATGTCGTAACAGAGGAAAATGTGATTTAAAAAAAGCTCCCCCACCCCCGTTCCCAAGCTGGGACTCCATGACAGACCACATTTCCCAGGCTGCTGGGGAGAGTGAGGAGTTGTACTTTGTGCCTCTCACTTCCTCCAGCCAGAGTTCTGGGTCTGAGGGTGTGGAAGCGAGCAGAGAGCTCCGAGGCCTCCCAGCTACTCCAGACCACGTCACCCCGCCCGCGGCCCTGCCCGCCAGGCTGCAGCTCTGAATAGTGGCCATGGCGACAAGTGAAAGTGGAGAAAAACCAAAATAAAACAGAAAGCCCTGAAGAGCCTAATATGATTGCAGCTTCTACTCGCCCACATCAATGTCAGGTGCTTAAAACAAAATGAAGCCCGGCCGGCCACTCCAGGGACCAGGGCAAGCGGCTGAAAACCCCTTCCTGGGGTGGGCGGGGTCTCCAGGGAGGGCGGGTCATGCGTGGCTGTCCAGCGACACATGCCAAACCCACGCCACACAGCAAGGCGACGCTCGGCGACACAGGGGACCAGGGTGAGTTTCCCAGGCCAAGCCCCCTCCGGGCCCCTCAGATCCACTTGGCATTATTACACAGCACCGCTTGGCCGAGCGTTCGGCCGTGGAAACCTGGCTTTAGCAGTACAGAATCACAACCTCCTCAACGATAAGATTTTTCCTGAAAAGTTCATTATAGCCCCCAACCCCCAAATCTCACTCTGCTTTAAAAAAGCAGCAGCACTGTAGCAGAAGAACCCACGCCACACAGCAGGGCGACGCTCGGCGACACAGGGGACCAGGGTGCGTTTCCCAGGCCAAGCCCCCTCCGGGCCCCTCAGATCCACTTGGCGTTATTACACAGCACCGCTTGGCCGAGCGTTCGGCCGTGGAAACCCGACTTTAGCAGTACAGAATCACAACCTTCTCAATGATAAGATTTTTCCTGAAAAGTTCATTATAGCCCCAACCCCCAAATCTCACTCTGCTTTAAAAGAGCAGCAGCGCTGTAGCAGACGTTTTTTTTTACAAGTGGCCAATTGTGTGAGGACGGCCAGCCGGCCAGGTCGCCCTGGTCCCCCGGGACCAGCGGCCAGCGCCCCCTTCCAGTCCCTTCTCTGACCAGCTTGGCTCTGGACCACAGCTCAAATGGCAAGTGAGAGTTTAAAAATACGGCGACCGCATCGTTCGGGCCTCTCAGTTCTCCTAAGTGGAAGGAGTTGTGCAGCCAGCACCCATCTCTCGGCCAGGCCCTGCGGTCTGTGCGCCTCAGTCTGAAAACCCAGCGTTACCCAGCGGGTACGTTTACTCCATCTGGGCGGTGGCAACGTTTTACATTTCTTTTGGCATTAAAAGTCCCAGGGACCCAAAATGCTTTGCTTTGACTACGTACTGAATGACGCCCTGACAGAGAGAGAGAAAGAAGGGCTTTGGGGAGAGAAAGAGAGAGAGGGAGAGAGAGATACACAGAGAGAAAACACAGGAGAAAACCAAGCTATAGAATGACACAAGGCTTCTTGTCCTTGAAGGGGTTCTCGGAGGCAGGGACTCCGACCAGCAGGGGGTCGTTCCGGGCATGCTGCTCGCAGTAGCTCATGAGTTCTGATGAGGCCTTGGAGACCTGAGCGTGGGCACAAGGACGAGAGAGAAAAGGTCAGAGGCTGATTCATGTGTGTTCACAGCAGCACATTCACCACGGCTGAAAGGTGGACACTGCCCAAGTGTCACCAGCTAATGATGGACAAACACAACATGTCCCTGCACACACTGGAGTATGACTCAGCCATGAAAGGAGCAAGCCACTGACACCCGCAACAACATAGATGAACCTTGAACACGCGATGCTCGGTGAGAGAAGCCAGGCACAGAAGGCCACACGGTGTGTGATTCTATTTATGTGAAATGTCCAGAACAGGCACATCCACAGAGACAGGAAGTGAATTCAGTGGTTGCCAGGGGCTGGGGGAGGCGATGGAGGGTAATTACTGATGGGGACGAGGTTTCTGTCTGTAATGATGAAATGATTTGGAATTTGATAGAGGTGATGACTGCACAGCACCAAATATACTAAACGAGAGGCCCGGTGCACGAAATCTGTGCAGGGGGCCACCAAATATACTAAACGAGAGGCCCGGTGCACGAAATTTGTGCAGGGGGGGCGGTCCCCTCAGCCCTGCCTGCACCCTCTCCAATCCAGGACCCCTTGGGGGATATCCGACTGCCGGCTTAGGCCTGATCCTGGGGATTGGGCCTAAGCCAGCAGTTGGACATCCCTCTCACAATCCTGGACCGCTGGCTCCTAATTGCTCACCTGCCTGCCTGCCTGGTTGCCCCTAACTGCCTCTACATGCTGGCCTGATCGCCCCTAACTGCCCCCCCTGCCAGCCTGGTTGCCCCACACAGCCTGCTGTTCAGTTGTTTGGTCGTCCCTCACTAACCCCCCTGCTGGCCTGGTCATAGGCAGCCATCTTGTCAGGGCAGGAGGGTTAATTTGCATATCACCTCTTTATTATATAGGATACCACTAATGATAAAGTTTAGATTGTGTATTCTTAAAAAATATTTTTATTGATTTCAGAGAGGAAGGGAGAGGGAGAGAGAGATAGAAACATTAATGATGAGAGAGAATCACTGATTGTCTCCTGCATGCCCTGGAACTGGGGATCGAGCCTGCAACCCAGGCATGTGCCCTGACCAGGATGGAACCATGGTTCTCAGGTCGATGCTCAACCACTGAGCCATGCCGACCAGGCTATGTTGTGTATTTTACCACAATTATTAAAAGATTGAAAAAGAAGGCCTGAGCCTCCTACAACAGGAGTTGCCCAGATTTTGAACAGAAAAGGTCAGAATGAGATGCAGCCTCTTTAGGAGTCAGCCTAAGACCCCATCCCACCCGAGCAAGGACTGAGCAGTGAGACCCCTGCTTGGACATCGGCATGATCGAGGGGCACAACACCAGCCTGTCTGCATTTCCTACCTGTGCACCCTGAACCCACTGGGGTCCAGTGACCCAGGGAGGGCACTGACCCTTAGGACCACCTGCATCAGAGCCCCCAAGCGGGGAAGGAGGCGAAGGGAGGGTCCCCGGAAGGCTGAATGGGGAAAACCTGGCATTTAGCATCTGGGGAGCTGAGGGTCACTACAAAGGGTGCCTCTGGACCACATGCCCTGTTCCTCCAGGTCACGCATTTGGGGGCGGGGGGTGCTGCAGGGGCCATCCCCCTCTGCTTGCCCCCGCAGGGCTGGGGGGGCTGGGTTGCAGGTACCCTCGGCCAGGGTGAACAGGATGTCTGTGGGTCCCTGGATCCCATCCCAGGGGCAGGAGCTGTCTGCCCATAGGGCTCCTTTTCTCAGCCCCTTGCTTTCTCACCTGTAAGGCCAGAGGGCAACGAGCCGTGCAGGGGCTGCTGGGTGGGTCTGCAACACTGCACACCTGAACACCAAGGACACCCTCCCTGCCCTGTGCTGGGGGATGCTCCTGCCCGGAGAAAGTGACAGTGGCCACTGTTGGGAAGCTGCCTTTGATGAGCAGATGAAGCTTGGCTTCTAGAGTCCTATTTGGAAAGCACCCCTCCCAGAGGACAGAAATAGTCACCGGGCCCTAAAATAGCTGATGCTGTGGCTCCAGCTTGTGCCCCCCCCCCGCCCGTCCCTGGCGTTGACAGGAAGGCTCTGCCCACAGTGCCGGGGCCACTGCACTGCCGCACACCCAGACCCTGGGCACCTCTCCTTTGCCAGGCCGTGGCCGGCGGGCCTGTCAGGCAGGCTGATGCTCTGTGGTTCCGGTGGCCGCTTTGCGGGGGATGCAAAACCTCAGGCGGGACTAGAGGGAGAGTGGGTTACCTCCCGATTCCCCTCCTTCCCACTTTCAAAGGCGGGGGGGCTGCTCCTGAACATCAAAGGGGTGGGATGAATCACCCTCCACCAGGCTGGGAGCTGGCACCACGCACAAAGGAAAACCACTTCAACCGGCCCTGCTCTTTCTTCAGCCTGAAGGAATGCTTTGAATGTGCAGAGTTCTGGAACATTCAGCCACCTCCTGGGAGGCACTCCCCGGCCCCCTGCAGCAGCCCTCCCCCACTCCCACTGGCTGGTGGAGGCAAGGGGGGGGGTGGCATCAAAACCACTCCCGCCTGGCCCTCAGGTGTGAGTCTGCCTGCGCCTGGCCGGGCCATCCCCTCCTAATGAATCCCCGAGACCAGCAGCAGCGACGGGGGCATGACAGATGCTCAGGACAGCGAGTCTGAACAAATACGTGGGCTGGTCCTGTGGTTGGTTTTGTGTTTCATCTCATGCCACTCTAGATGTCTCTGTGAACATACTTCATAGATAACATTTAAATCCGTCGGCTTTGAGTGGAGCAGGTTAACCTCTCTAATGTAGGTGGGCTGCAACTCATCAGTTGAAGGCCTTAAGAGAAAAGACTGAGGTCCCTGCACAGAAGAGAGAATTCTGCCTCCAGACGGCCTTGGCACTCGAGCTGCAACACTGACTCTTCCGTGGGCTTCAGCCTGTGGGCCTGCCCTGCAGACTTCACACTTGCCAGCCCCTGCGACGGCATGAGCCAAGTCCTTAAAATACATCTCTCTTTATATATCTCTATCTCTATCTCTATCTCTATCCCTACCTATCTCTATCTCTATCTCTATCTCTATCTCTATCTCTATCTCTATCTCTATCTCTATCTCTATCGATATGTACACATATTCTGTTGGTTCTATTTCTCTGGCGATCCCTGACTAACCACTAGGTAGCTGGAGCAGGGCTAATCCAGAAGCGCAAAGCACTGGGGCCTTCTAGATGGAGACTCCCTGGGACTCACCAGGCTGTCTGCACGCTGGGATCTGGGACAGGAAACAGCTTCTTGGAGCCACCTCACTGTCCTTTGCAAAGGGGACATGGGCTTGGTGGGACGGGGCCTTTGAAAAGGTCAGACACCTTTCTTATGTGCAGCCCGTTGGTCCATGTCCTTGGAAAGGAGGAAGCCTGTGTGCCCTGGATGTTGTCCTGATGTCCCCTCATACTTACAATTCATCTACACAAACACAATGTGTCCGTGCACACGCCGGAGCATGACTCAGCCATGAAGAGGAGTGAGGCACTGACACTCACTACAACATGAATGAACCTTGATGTTCCGTGAGAGAAGCCAGACACAAAAGGCCACACAGTGTGTAAGTACATTTATGTGAAATGCCCAGAACAGGCACATCCACAGAGACAGGAAGTGGGCTACTGGTTGTCAGGGGTTGTGGAGGGGGATGAGGGTGACTGCTAAGGGGGACAGGGTTTCTTTTTGGGGTGATGGGCCGTTCTGGAACTAGACGGAAGGGATGGTTGCACATTGTGAATGCACCCAATGCCATGGAATTGTGCACTTCAAAATATATGGTTAACTGGATGTTATGCAAATTATTATTTTTTTAAATCTCCGTCTGCAGAGCTGACGGTGCAATGCTGCACTCTTTCATTTTGCTCTGCGTGTTTCTGGTCCCCGATGGGTTAAGTGTCTGTGAACAGAAACTGCTTGTCCTTTTTCTTTTTTTTAGCATAGAAAGCAAACATGCTTATTTCAAAAACTTCACACAGCGCGGAGGTGCAGAAAGCAGGCGGCGAGAAGCGCGGTCTCTCCTATCTGCCTCTTGTAATGAGGGAGATGAGGGGACAGAAGAGAGAGAATGCCTGCCTCATGCTGGTCCTCCGGCAGGGCCTGAGGCGGCCTCACTGGGGCTTCCAAGGCAGGACCCCAGGGGCTGGCGGCGAGGTCAGTGTTTATAAATCGCTGTGGCAATGGGATCACCACAACCCCCGGGGTGGCTTTCTATCAGCTGTGTGTTTCTACTGAGGAAACGGAGGCTTAGAGAGATTGGGTGGCCTGAGGTTGCACAGCGAAAGGCACAGCTGCAGGGCCAGCCCATCCTCCTGCCGCTGTGGGCCATGGGTCTCCCCCTATAACTCCCCCCCACCCGCCGCCTGTGTGTCTCTCCCTTGTCCTCTCCTGCCCTGCTCACCTTGATACGCTGGATCCCGGCTTCGATGCGGAGCTGCTCCACCAGTTTTCGGGCCTGGGCGATGTTGTTAGTGGCTGACATGGTCTGCCATCAGCTCTGGCCCTGTCGTCCAGATAGCTGTGGGGGAAGCAGACAGCGTGAGCCGGCTGGGAGGCCCCAGGACCTCATGCAGCTGAGGATGGAGAGGCAGGACACCCCCCATTCTGGGAGCTCTCT